CAAATTGAAGGAGCCGACGAGCCTGGGAGATGTTGTCGATCAAGCGGTCCAGCAAGATCAGGTCACCGCGCAGTCACAGTCGGTAAAGGAGGTTGTATGCTCTCTGGTCTTGGAAAAAAGTCTGGCTTGGCATAGGTTCAGTGTGGAATGGGTGACGGCGGAGGTGTTGGCTGACCAGAGAGAGGAGGTCCAAAGAGCCGTTGAGGGATTGAAAATCGGGCTGAGTGCTAATCGAAGGTTGGAGCCATCTCGGAGGGCGCTGTGGGAGGTAGTGTTCTGTATCGGTAGGGTTGCTATGAAGGCGAGCGCGAGGATTGGCCATGACAAATGATGGAATAAAATGGCGTACAAAAGGCTGCGGAGCTGAAGTGAGCCTGAAAACTGACGAATCGAGGATGGGCAAACTGGTGAACGTAGATTGGATGTGAGAAACCAAATGTCAGTACGGGTCAGTGGATTTGTCCTGCGGCACGCCGTAAAGAAAGCTGGGTGAAACGGGTCAAATGAAAAAACTGACCACGGGCGTAAGTGGAGATTTCTCCGGTTGACTGTCTTCACTAAGGTCCCGCTCAGCAGCCGGCGGCAGCAGCACAGCAGCAGGAGTCGTTGGATGTTGTGAAGTCTGTGGCGTTGTTATGGGGGAAGGGGAGAAATCCGGTTGTGAGTGTGGTGCTGGGGAAACTGCTGGTGATGTGGGTGTTGGTGAGGGGGAAGGTGCTTGTCTTGGTGGTGCGGTTGGTAGTGGTGTGGAGAAGAGTTGCTGGTCCTGCTGACGTTGCATGTCTTTGAGTTCCTGCCATCGGGCTTGGCATTGCTCAACGGAGAAGCCCACTCGGCGAGCCACAGTGGTCCAGTTGGGACGAAGTTTTGGGTTTTCTTTGAGTTCGACCAGGCGACAGTCAGCGTCGCCGTCCCAAGCATCCCAATCCGCCTGTCGGTTCAGTGGTGGTGGGGGTGGTTGCTTCCGCTTGCGTGTTGTGGTGGGTTGTGGATCTGGGGTTGTTGTTGGAGTGTCGTCTGAGTCTTTTGAGGGTGGTGCTGGTAAGCGGTTGGGTGGTCTGGATGGTGCTGAGTCACAGGATGAGGTGGTAGATGGTAAACGTATAGGGTGGTTGGGCGGAGTTGGAAGTGGCTGAAAGTGTTGGCGGAAAGTGGGGTCCGCTTGGTGACAGTGGTGAAGGAAAACAGTGTGGAGGTCAATATCTGCTGCTTGTCGGAGCAGGTTTTGCACCTGCGAAAGTGCCACGGCGGTTCTGTGTATGAGAGTTGAGGTGTCGTTTTGTAGAGGTGTCAGTGTTCTGCTCATGATTCTGAGATGTAGGGGTGTACAGTAGCTAAGAATCGTCACAGGTTGCTGCGGCAGCGCGCCAAAGCAGCCGGACAGCGGCGAGTCTGAGGAAGCGCGTCATCACGAGGCCGTGCATATGAATTAAACGAGCATCAAATTCCCACAGGCAAAAGAGCGAAAATGTAATGCCGGTTGGACAATCAAGTACATGAGAAACTGACATGTGAAATACTCCATCAAAACAGCCGGTACGATTCGAGGAAAGATGTTTACAGCAAAACACTGCAGAGCTTGAAAAATTGAGGGTTCAAAATTCGCGTGGCCGCTGCAGGAGGCTCTTTTTTGCTGCTACAGCAAAGGTTGGGTGTTGGGGTGAGACCAAAGGTGGATGTGGAGGTGGTAGTGGTGTGTAGAAGTGTGGTAGTGGTGTTATGGGTCCGGTGGAGTGGAGTTGGTGGACCAGGCCAGTCCTTTGACAATGGCGTGGTCCGGGTGGATCACCCAGCAGCGGCCCTTCTGATGAAAGACTGCACCATGGTGGTCGTTAAGGAGGTTCATGGCGTGTTCCTCACCTCCAGAGGTATATTTTGTGGCAGCACCCCAAGCAAGGAGTGTGATGATGAGGGAATGGGAATTCTTGTGGAGGTGCCAGGTGTTGTGGATGATGCGGGCAAGTTCGTTGTGGTCATGGGGTTGGTTGTGGGTGATGCGAACGCCCTGGGCAAAAAATCCAGGGTAGTTGGCAAAATGGAGTGTGCTGGGTAAAATTCGGCCTTGGCGTAGAATGTTGGAGATGTTGCCGACGGGGCCTGTGTGGCCTGCGTTGATGTGGGCGACTTCCCGGTGGGTTGATGTGGCGCGGGAAACCGCAGGTGGCTCTGGTGTAGTGGCTTTGGTGTTGAGGAAGGGAAGTGAAATGGCGTAGTACTGGAATTGGTCGTATTGGTGAGTTGTGTCGTTCCACTTGGCGTGGGTGTATTGTCGGAAATCGGTGATCTCCTTGTAGGTGATGTTGCAGTCTGTGAGGATATTGGCAATGTACTGGTGTTGTGGTCGGTTGGGATTGTCGAGTTGGGTGGCGTGGAATTCGAGCCATTCCAGGATTTGGTCTGCAGGTGTAAAGGTGTGAAGGTTGGGTGGAGGTCGCCACCGGTTGATTGGGCGACGGAGGACGGCTGTGGTGGGAAATTGAGTGGGGTCTGGGTTGGAGTGTTCGGTGTTAGGGCGTAGATCAATGGGTTGCGGTGGCGAGCGACTGCGGGATGGCGTAAGGCTGGATGTGTAAGTGGATGTTGAAGGCGACCGCCGTCGCCGGGTTTTGCTGTGATGTTTGGAATGGCGGTGATGGTGATGTCGGCGGCGGTGGCGGTGGCGTCCTCTGTGGTGATGGTCGGACTTGCGTCGGCTCTTGTGGTGGTGGCGGCGACTGCTGTGTGGTGGTTGCGGGGAAGGTGGTTGCGGTGCTGGTGAGGCAGTAATGTCAGGTTTGGCTGGTGCTGGTAGTGAAGATCCAGGCACTGGTGCGGCAGATACCAGCGATGGGGATGCTGAATGTTGGGATACGGTAGCTGGTGGGGGCGTGTTTTGGACTGGTAATGGATTGTCCTGGGCAGTCGTGGGGGTGGATTGGATTGGTAGTGTTGGATCCGATGGTGGCTGCTGTTGAAGTGGAGGTTGGGCTGGTGTTGGAGTGTTGATGGTTTGTGGAGGCGGTGGCGGGGGCAACGGTTGGGGTGGAGGCTGTGTGACGGGGGGAAAGGCTGAATAGGGTTGCCAGACGCCCTGGGGGATGGCGTATTGGGGGTCTGTGGATGGATGATTGTCGATCGCAGTCTGTTGCTGTGTTGGAGGGGAATGTGTCATTGTAGTGGGGGGAGGGGGTTCAGCCGGTGGTGTGGGATGATGTGATGGCAACATGTAGGAAGGGGGAGGTGCTGCTGTCGGAAATACTGGAGTTGGATGTGTGGGCTGCGGTGGCAGGTGACATGGTTGGACCAAAGTCCAAGTGGATGGTGTGCCGTAGGTCAGTGCAGGGGCGGTAGGGTTGGACACAAACGGTGGTGGTTGAAATGGTTGTGGTTGTGGGTGAGGGTATGCCGATGGTTGTGTCGGGGGAAAAATGGGTGCAGTTGATGGTTGTGGCATCGGCCATGTGGGTTGAGGTTGTGTGGTAGGTAATGGTGGTGGCGTGGTGTGAGCGTAGGGCCACGGAAAATGCATGTCGTGGTCGTAGCTATGGCGCGGCGCGGCGCGGCAGCAAAAAAGCAGCGGGGAGGTGCCGAGTTGTATTGTCTAGTTGTTGTTGAAGGTGTCGGCTCTGGTGTCAATGGTGAGTATGTTGTAAGGTGGTGCTAGATGTGAGCTTGTTGGTAGGCGTGTGTTCATGCATATCGAATTAAGCTGAAGAGCTGTAATGCCCATCCTTGAGTTCTGTCGAGGAAAGAATCGCGGCAGCAACATAGCAAATATAGAAACTCGCACATGAAAAGACAAGTGAATGCTGAACCTGAGATCTGGAAGTTGGAATCTGAATTATTCTTCAAAAACCGTTTTTTGGCCCGGCGGCCGGTGTGGCGGTTGATTCTATGAGGGTGTCGGTGCCTTCCTGTGAGAGTCCAGTGAGCGGTGGTGCGTTGGGGTGGTTGCTTTCCCATGCGAAGTCGGCGCCCCTGTGACGGGGATCACACTCAGCACCCGAGTGGGACGGCTGAGCGAAACACACTCTGACACTTGTATTCAGTGACTCAGTTACCACGTTGGGAAAATGGTGAGGGAACAGCAAGGTGCATGAGTCGGCCAAAACAGTATTGTTTAAAAAGTGTTTCCACAGGTGCAAGTCTGCAGAACGATCTGTCGGCGCTGCTCAGCGGGAAAGCGGCTGCAAGGCTGTGGCGGGGATAGGTTTGGGGGAAAGTATCGTGGAACCACCATGAAAGCAAGAGAGAGTGATTGGAACGGCTTGGTCAAAAGTTCAAAACTGGCGCAGGTACGTTCGGATGATCAGTCCGAATATCCCACTCTGTGACCTAGCTTCGTTGAACTGGGTCAGTCACAGAGTGCCCAGTTCCCCTGCCTGTGTAAAGTGGAAAGAGTGGTGGTGAAAGACCCTTTGTCCAGGGTGGGACACACACACACACACATACAGACCAGCAGTCACAAGACGGGATGCTTTTTAGTCCCATCCAGCGGACGTGACACCCCTTCCTACTCGGCACCCAACTGGATGTCACTGCTGTATACATGGAAGCGACCCGCCCGGGTCGAACGGGAGGGAAACCGTTCACTAGCTGCAAAGGGCAGCGTTTGGAAGGGCTCCCATGTTGAGAAAGATCCAAGTCAAGATTGGCCAGGAAAACGCAGAGAGAGAGAGAGAGTAGAGATGCGTCATCCAAACTCAACCTGACACGAAGCTAGTTCTTGGATGAACCATACCCACCTTGTTGGGATTGTCTTTACCCTAAGAATCATTGGACCCGAACCACCGTTCGCTGGAGGGTTTGGACGCACGCCCGGGGGCCCGCTTTCGGACCCGAACCACCACCGATGCACCGAACGCTGAGGGCCCTTGATTCGGTCGATGTGTTTCCCCATCCGGGCTCCGAGTTCGCCCCATCTCCGACCCGGTGAGCGGTGGTCTTCGACCCCCCGAGACCACCCACCCTGGCCGAACCGAAACGGAGGTGGGCCAGGAGCCCTAGGGTTCGCTGTGCAGGCGATCCGGGCCTTGGATGATGTGGGAGGCGCGAGACACGGCCGGGATGGCGGAAAGGCAGACGGGAGGGGTCAAGACATGGCATGGCACGCACTGAGTCACATCAAACAAAACGCCATGAAAATGACCGGCACCACCACTTTTGTTGGGGTGGTGAAAGACAAGAACCGCTGACCAGGAACAAACGAACATTTCACATAATTTTTTAATAATCTGCCGCTGGTGCCGTACTCTACTATACTCTACCGCAGACACGACCTGTATGGGACTGCCATGTATATGTCCACATCTTTGACCCCTTTTCAACCATCCCTGGCCTGAACTCTCGGGCGTCATAGCAAGTCCCAATCGCAGGTGGTGTTTGGGTGATCGATCCCTTGGATGGTGGTACTCATCCGCGACGAATGGGACTGGAATAGGACTGCCGAGAGTTCCGGCCAGGGGTAGTGGTCTTGGGGGGTCAATGGATCGGCAGTCCCATGGAGCGCTTGGGCATGTGGTACACGTCCTGCCCTTCGCGGCGCAAATCGCCGTGAGGCAAGGGCGTGCCGCTGTTAGCCATGGCTAGCAAGGGCACCGGGATGAGTTTGGGAGCTGCTCGGCGACGGCTTCCGACGAGAGGCGGACGTTCGACGCGACAAGACGGACGTGACTCAGAGGTGAGAAATGTCAGCGCCCAAAGATGTCTTGTGCCCTAAGGCTCATTGGACCCTCAGTTCGCTAGGGTTTTGACCTTCACAGCCAGGGTCTTGGACCGAACCAACATGTAGCAGGAAAGAGGGTCCATGAGCCTCTGGGTAGTAGTAGGGGTTCCACTACTAAACCACCAAACTTGTGGGCACGACCGTGCCACCCCTTGTTCCGTTCTTGGGCGCTATCGGCTTCCGATCCGGCCCCCTCTAGCGCGCCTGCGGGTTCGATTAAGCCGGTTTTCCGATCAATGGACATTCCAGCAGAGGCTGAAGAACCCTGTAGACTATCCTATAGACGCTCCATGTATATATTGGCTACATGGAGCGTTTGGGATAGGTACCCCTGGTGACGGGTCCTAGTTCAGGTCCCTGGCTACCTTTGTTGGTTATTGGTCCACTTCACCCGTTGAGAAAGAAGCGTCCACGTCCAACTGCGCACGTATGGATGGGTATTTGCACCCCGTCTTGGTCTTGGTCTTGGATGGTCGGATTTCATGGTGCACCATCCACTTCCATGATTCATAGCTGGCATCCTCCATGGTTTCAGAGTCACGAATTCGAATTCCGCTGTTCTGGCTGTTTTCTCATTTGCTTCTCCTTCCGATCGCATTCTGCAATGCATTCTGCACCAGGAGTTGAAGGTGTTCATGTTGCTATAGCCCAGACGCTCCGTTCACCACCGTTGGTCCTTCAAGACCCCAGACATTGGTCCGACCCCAGACTCCATGAGCGTTTGGGAGGATGAGGTTGTTTTTGCTTCTTCGTGTTTTTCCTCCGGTTCCTGAAGCAAATCTTTTTTGGAGCCCAAACGCGACCCGTTCGGCCCCGAATCCTATGGAGGGGTCGGACCCGAATCCTTGGGTCAGGGGTCTGGGGTCGAACCAATCCCTATGGTTTTGAAGGACCAAGGGTTGTGAACGGAGCGTCTGGGAGGGAGGCTATCTCGCTGTCGCCAGGTGCCCGTCTCGCTGCTATCTTCCGAGGGGAAGATCCTGGCAAAAGAGGGAAGAGAACGTCGACAAAAAATGTTTGGAACGTCTAACCTGAAAGCTGGCCCTGAAGCGACGTCGTCATCATCATCATCATCACGGGCATGATCATTACCACTCTTCTCCTGCTTGGTCTTGGGCCCGTCTCTCGACCTCCGCACTTCCGACCCTGACCCGTCCTCCGCGGGATCCGAGTCCGTCGCCGAGGTGGTGGTCATGGGTGCCGGGTTGATCTTTCAGGCTGCCAGAGGGGATGTTCGGCACCAGAGAAGCGAATGGCACGACCGGTTCGCGATGGCATGACCGGTTCGCATGGCCGAGCTCGAGCGAGAGCTCGGATGCGAATGAAATCCGAAGACCAAGCAGGTGGTGCGAAGCACTTCCACTTCCACCATGATTCTTTCAGGGAGTGTAAGTCTTCGTCACAGTCGAAGGGTCTTCTACTCATGAGGACGTGGACCTGCATGGTGTTCAAACCAGCATACTGTTGGATTGACTCTTTTTCGTGCCATGTGCATAGTCCAGCATCGCTTCACCTCACCGTGACCATCCGTGGTTTGCATGGCGGCGAAGGCTTTTCTGTTGGGGAGCAAGAAGTGAACATCACTCTCTATCCCAAAGAATGCAGCAGAACCTTCAGGGACCTCTTTGGAGTCTCTGGGACTTCGGGGACTTTGAACTTGACATCCTCAAGTTCACTCAGTTTGAAGGTCCGGGTTCCAGAGTACCACAACTTAGTTTGTGCAATTGGACTTGTGCCTGCAGCACTGATGTGTTCTGTGCTCTTCTCCTGGCAATGACATACAAGTCCACCCGAATTCCTTCCTTTTTGGGGGGAGGTCTTGGGGGCAAGAGGCAAATAATGTTTGCCCAGTCTTTGGATAACCTTGAACTGTTAACAATTTTGGGGGATTGGCTTCCCCACCAAATACGCAAGAATTGGTGGAAAAAGGGTAACCTTTGAATTTTTCTGAGAAACTGAGGGGGTAATTGTGTTTAATATTTATGCACAAGATATGTCTCATAGCTCTGAATCCTTCCTCCCAAAAGTGGCAAGTGAGAGCCGGGAATCACGCTATGATGGGTTTCCAAATCGAGCCGCCCAAACCGCTGGCCGAGGGCCTTTGCTTCAGAAAAAAACCATCCAGAAGCCTGAAGAGCAGTTGAGCATCCATCGAGATGTCATGCGACCCTGCGACCACCCTGCCATACGGTGCGCACCCTGCCATGCGACCTCTCCGATTTCAGATCCTGGCGGCCGCCTTGCTGGTCGCTGTGAAGTTGGGCGACGAAGAGACGAAGGATGAAAAGGAGGTTCGCAAGTGGATGAAGGCGAGGCTCCAGCTCCATGGAGAGAGAGAGAGAGGACCGGTTCGCACCCTCCCGAGGTGCGGTACGGTACGGCATCAGCGCGCCCATATCAAGTGACAAAAGGTGACCTTTCAAGGGAGACAGACACAGACAAAAGTGACCCTTGGGAGACTTCAGTGACCAGACCCTTAGGATATCCCTGCTAAACCTTATAACCACCTTTTGTTGTCCGGGACGTGTTTTACCGTAATCGCTGAACTTGGTCTTTTCACAACACTCAAATATATCAATATAATTTAGGCTTTGGACGTGAACAACCGTTCAGCATTTCAAAAGGACGTAAATTCACAAGATGGACGTAAATGTTGCGAGAACTTGCAAAAAGCTCTCTTTTAGCATCCTGGACTGAAATTGGTATCTATCCAGGGTAGCAGGTCAAGTTAGGTCACTTGGAAGAACCAGGGGCAGTGGCGGAGACATTGGGTGCTTGGATGTGTGTGTGTTGGGAGGGTCAGAACGTCCGGTTACCGGTTCTTCCACCGGCCGGGCCCCTCTGTCCTGCAGTTCGGTGGTTTTTGTTGTTGCCCTCCCGCCGTTACGTGGCATGGGCCCTTGGATCACCCAAAACTGCATTGTTTTCCGGATTTGCAGCCAGGTTTTTGTCCACATCATTCTTTCAGGTTTTGTGCACCATATTTGACATGTATCAGGCATGCCAGTCGCAGGGCCGTCCCGTGCTCCGTCTCTGCTTGGACGATCGAAGCCGCGCTGGGCGCCACGCCAGGAAGACGCTCGCTGGGCTCAGGAGGGCGGCTATGGCGGAGGTGAGCCGATCCACCGGAACCGTCGATCACGGCCGGTGTGGCCTCGTTTGGGAACTAGACATGGATCAACTCAAGTTGGTTATAGTGGATTGAGAGGACCAATGGCACAGACCCCAAGAGGTGGCTTATATGGACCCCTATGTCAAGGATATCTTGGGGTCGCCATCTACTCTGAAACCACTGTAATCTTACTTTTGTAGAAACAAATCCCTACACATCCAACGACGCAGTTTAACTTGAATGTAGGAAATACGACGCAGTTTTACGGCATCACATTTTATTCGACGCTCAAAAACTTCGAGGGGACAGTTTCGTTAAAAGTTTCGTTAAAACATGTTACAGTTATATATATATATATGTCTTTAAATAAGTCCTGGCAGCACATTTTCAACCAAAAGACAAGTTCAAAAGCGCCTTTTTACCTGCGCCATGTCTTGTAAACATCCACACGTGCCAATCTCTTCTTGGCAATTGCAAGCTTCACGCTAGCAATTTTCACTGCACAGTCACGCTACAGTCACGCTAGAGTCACGCAGAGTCACGCTAGAGTCACGTTCGAGTCCAAGTTTTTTGTATAAAAAACTGGCCTGTTGAAAGTTTTTGTTGAAAAAAACTTCGAGTAAGGGGGGAGTCACGCTACAGTCACGGTAGAGTCACGCTACAGTCACGGTAGAGTCACGCTACAGTCACGGTAAAGTCACGCTACAGTCACGGTAAAAACTGATAAACAACATTACCACCGAAACGCACACGTGCTGCCAGGAATTTGTTGCAATTTCATTATATATGTATCAACAAGTTAAGTACGATAAAAACTTAGGAAAAGACGATAAAAACTTTCAGGTGACAACAAGTTAAGTACGATAAAAACTTAGGAAAAGTCGACAAACACTTTCAGGTGACAAAAGTTTTTGACAGTCGCATTTTCTTGAAACTTTCGAGGAAAATGCGACGCAGTAAAACGGAGACATTGATTTGTAGGGAATGATTGTCCCAAGAAGAGGTGGAGTTCGTTTAGTTCGTGCGAGAAAATGCATGGTTTAGCCCCGATTTGTCCGGGGCAAACTGAGGGAAACGGTTGGAGTCACTTGGACAGTTCTACGGCTTGGGCCAGATGGGCACAGGACATTCTCCCAAGTGTTAGCGGAACAAGGGACCACATGGATCTACATGGATGGCAGATTATATGTATACTTAGGACCATCAAGCGACCTAGACTTCATAGACTCGCATGGTGATGTTATTGTTCTCTTTGTTTGTCACTAATCCAAAGAGAATCATGCTGGCTCGGAGCGAGCTCTGATTTTGGGGGCTAGCGGTGCAGCAAGATCAGATTGACCAAAGAAACGAACTACTTCGCGCTCGTCGCCCAGCAGAACGACCACTTGTACCACAACCTTCGCCAGTGGTAGGTCGCAGTTATTCGCAGCTCATCCATCCCCTACTGTACAGGTCCAAAGTCCCTGCATAAAACCTGGTCCTGAAAACCTCTTTGAGTAGTCTTTGGTATGATCAACGCCAGTAGAATGAGGTCATTGACTGGGATCCAACAGAAACACACAGAGACGCGAGCGAAGAACAGCCCCACCACGCTCCATCCCGCTTCCCATCTCCGGCCGTGCAGAATATGGCAGCTGGGGCTATGGAGAGTCCTTTCAGGCGGGAAATGGTGCGACCAAAAAACAGAAAACAGGTTACTATAGTAGCTTCTAGCTACTAGTTACTAGTAGCGATGGCCTCCACCCTAACTAGCGATAACCTCCACCCTGGACTCCACCCTACCTATTTGTCACCCCTAGCTTCCCGGCCCAGAGGTGCCGGCTAACTTTCCACGCGATTCGTGGGGCGGCGAAGCTGCCCAGGCCACACAGTACGAGGGCTACGACCCCAATCACTTCGCATATGACCCCAACCAAGCTGCCTTTGCTGCTCCTCAGTGCCTACGACCGCAAAGACTGGACGTGCCACAGCCTGCGCGGTCGACGACCGGGAAGACTGGTTCCCAGCGTTTTGCTCGACCACCGGGCGGAAGACCCAACAGTTGGGTTAGTTGCACGTTGGGTTCCCCTACACCGACTTCGTCGTACCTCCGAAACGGTTCGGTGGTCTTCGACCCGAACCTGGCACCCGGGCCCCGGTCGTCCCACCTTCGAAACGAAGATACGACTGGAGGCCTAGGGTTCTATCATGTTCCCTGGCCTATAAGAATCATTGGACCCTCCATGACCTTCACCTTTGAGGGTTCTAGGGTTCTATATATTTGGGTTGTGTGCGGTGTGGAACTAAAGTGAAAAGAAATACGTCCAGACGTGACCCTGGAGGGGGTTTCGAGGGACCGGTGGGGCGTATAGTGAGCCTCCAGAGCTTGAAAAGCTGCATTCTAACGTTAGAATCTGCTCGAACTGTCGATCACGAGTGATATCATATCACTACATGGGGGCATGGCGGAGGAAGGTGTTACATCAATGGTTATAGTTTCCAAACATTTGGACCTAGACGAATTTGGGGTGTTTGCCATCTTTCAGTACCCCCTGGAAAGATGGCAAACACCCCAAACTGAAACCAAACCAGGGGGTGTTTGCATTGAATTTGGATGAGTACCCCCTGGAAAAACCTAACATGGACCCTCAATGCCAGTGCTTCGTAGAGGAAAACCAGTCGGACTCTGGGTCTCGTTCGACCCGTCGACTCAGGTTCCGGGGGGTGAACTAACACCATGGTTTCCCCTAGGGCTCGTGGCCTAGCTCCTGAGGTTCGGTGGGACTGGGGGCCCGGGTACCAGGAGGGTTTAAACAGCTTCTGAAAAGGTACTTGGAGGTGTAGGGATTGAGATAAGTACTACTTCGTGCTTTTGATCTTCGTGCTTTGGTGTGTTTGGATGGCTCAGGTTCGCTGCTGCCACACCTTGGGACCCGCGAGCGTACGCGTGAAATCATGGGAGCATGGAATCAAGGGAGCGTGCTTGGAATCGGCTGAAACGCGGCAGACAGGTGGCATGTGAGAAGCGGTCTGTGAAACTCATGTATGGCTGGTAGAAAGGAGGTGGATTTGTATCCAGGCATCAAGTCATGTGATGTCTATAACCGTAGTTTCCCAGGACCTTTAAAGGAAAGGTTGACCTGTTGTTGTAGTTCAAATTTCCATAGTAAAGCAGTGGTTGCTCGGCAAAGACCATTGAATCAAGGGTTGTTGGAAGCCTATAGGCCTATAGGGTATAATTACGTAATTAACAATAATAGTTATATATATATATATAGTTAAAAATGGTTCACGTACCCCAGAACTTCCAATGACTCATGAATTTTACTCCACCTGGTAGTCATAATCCACCAGCATGGGGTGTTCCATGAGTCATGGACTCTCAGGGCATGTTCCCGTTTCCGCTCGCAGGATGCCGGCGCGATGCCCACGGCAGTGGGGGCAGACCCCATGGCGGCGTCCTTCTCAAAGGTAGAAACAGCAGGGGGAAGGGTCTACACTCCTTCAAATCATCATGGTGATGTGGACGGCAGTCTGCCCCTTTTTCTTCGGGTGAGCATGTTTCATCTATATCCGGAGACCAGTCCCAAAAGGTGCCATCCATAGGAGGATTTCAGGGAGTGTATGCGGGGTTTGTATGTGAATGGAGCTGGCCCTGGAGGGGAGACTTGTCCTTGTCCCGAGCCAACAGGCCATGGATCCCCTTCGGTTCGGTTCGGATGGGGCTCCCAAAGATCACTGAGAAGGTTCTGGAGATGTTCAGCTGTTGGATTGACCGTCCCAGACCGGACTGCCAATAAGGACTGCCGATCCATTGGCCCCCCAAACCGCCAAAGATGGCATAGGTGGAGTGTTTGGGTACTGAAGTACAAGGAAGTTCCTCTTCGGGTCACGTAGTCAGATATTAAATAGTCACTCTCAGGGTAGTGGAGGCACCTTGTCTCCCAAGACCGAGCCCAGGTTGATATAGGGCCTAATATAGGGTTCCCGTTGGTTTCTCTTCCACTCGCTTGATTGGGGGGTTTATTGCTGATGCTACACTTGCAATGTGGCCTATACGTGATGCACTGCAGCCTGCAGCCTCGTTTTGCTTCGAACATTTCTTCCCGAACTGGTGAGCCCCCCTTCTCAAAAGAGTCTTCCCAGTTCAGCAAGTCCAAGCACGCGTGCAGTGCAATTTGGCTGGGTTGACCTTCTGATTGGCAGGTGTCCTGCAGTGCCTATCGCCGAATTTGTTTCAATAACCTTTTGAACATTCAACATCATGCAATGATATACAGTGAGGCTTATTGCACAATCATGTGCGAAATGGTGTGTTTTGTGCAGGTGATTTCCTAAAGAACCGCTCCTCAATGAACGACTTCCTATGGCGCACCGTTCTGCTGTTCAGGCACCTCCAAGCTGAGCAACCCACAGCGGACGCGCAGCCGAAGGGCGGAATGCACAGCACACAGTGCCAAAAAGTCCGGGCGTGTTTCCTCGAGCTGGGGGGAATTGGACACACTCCGTGCTGGTGGAGGGGATTGAGAAGGCTTTTTGTGGTGACCTGCATGTTTGGTATCCTGGAAGTGGCGGACTCAAGGAGCTTGAGAATTCAGAATACCTTAGAACTATTTAGTGACTTAGCCCGAAGTGGCGGTTTCTGGGGTTGATGGCTTCGTCATGGAAGTGGATTCAATAAACTCTAGGAGGGTTAGCTATGCATGGTCCTGCCCAGACACGAGCCTGGACCCGAATCCTTTGGACCCGAATCGGAGGGTCAGGGGTCTGGGGTCGAACCAATTCCTGTAGGTTTTGAGACCCCAAGGGCTGTTTGGAGCGTCTGGGCATTACAGAAATTTGAAAAGCACGTGCCTTTCGGGGCCTTCATGCCATGTTTTCCACATACCCAGACACTCCATGCATGTATAGAAAACTCCACCGATCAGTTGGGGTGGTTGACCTGGGGTCAATGCAGCTACATGTTCCATAACTCGTGTTCCATGAATGTGGAGTGTTTCGGCCACGGAACGGATGGGTGTGTTCTTGCTCGATGGCACCACGGACCCGAGCGCTCGCCGGTCAGGTCGTGATCCAGGGCGGCCTTTGCGAGGGCCCGCCCACGGGCCAGCACGGCTGTGTGCCACTGGGACGGACAAACTTGCTGGGCGGTTTGGGTGTGTCGCGATGGGTGGAGCTCCACCTGGGTCAGGATGTACCACTCCCACCGCTCCAGCTGCTCCTTGAGGGGTGCTTTTCTTCTCCCAACACCATTCATGGCCATTGCGAGTTCTCACGGACCCACAGCCGCCCAAGCCGTTCGCACACCACTGGACGCCAGCCGCGACAACGCGCCGGTGTTCTCAAGAAGTCGGCCGTCATACTGCAGGGGGTCAGAGAGGCCAGCAGATCCGGTGTGTTAACACATGTGTGGAGCTCCCGTCCCTCCTATACGGCCACTCAGAGGCAACGCGTTCTTGCTATTCTTTGTGTGCAATGTGAAGGTTGGTTGGTATGTTGCATTTCTCGAAGTCTAGGTCCATAGGCATAAAGTGTATATAGGACATGTAGATTCGTATGTATACATACACCTGTTTGTCAATATTGATCAGCACCAGACCAAGGGAGCTTATGGATTCAGATGACGACCTTTTGAACACACGAGAACCTATCATGCCCATGCCAGTGCAAATCAGAATCAGCCACATTCTTTGGCTCCACTAACTTGTTACTTTTTTGTTCGGTCCCTTTTTCGCTGAGGTACTCCTACCCTGCACTTGAAGACAAGGAGAAAGTGTATAATGTTCTGTGGCATTAGCCACCAGGTGCCTGTTGAGGTTTGGTATGCTCTGGATGGAGACATAACAAAGTCAGAGGACGCATGGACTATCCATGCGTCATATGCATTCACCAATGGCACTTTTTGGATGGAGACATTGAGACATCAATGTGCCGGACTCATGTTGGAGGATGCGTCTTGCATTGTTTTTGGTTGAGACTTGGCGACCGTTTTGTGAGCGAACCCGGCTCACACGAGCTTGAACACTTAGCAGATGAGCAACCAGAGAGTCTTTAGTCCAAAACCAGGCGATGAGCCCCCCCCCCCCCGTCGCCCCCGGGGGCGTCCATCAGCTCGCGCTGGGCATCCCTTCGATGAAGCCAGGACGTGATGAGTCTCGACGAACTGGTGGGCATCCCTTCGATGAAATGTTCCTTGGACCCAGGATGTCAAACAACCATTGTTTTAATGGTCTGAATCCCAAAGAACCATTCTTTTACTACCCAAACGCTCCAAACGACCCTTGGTCCCTCAAAACCTAGGGATTTGAGACCCCAGACTCCTCCATATGAGGGTCCGACCCCTCCATATATATATGAGGGCCCAGGGTCGCGTCTGGGTAAGGATTTTTACACTACACCACCAGCTCAACCGTTCTTCTAATGGTCGAACTGAAGGCTAGGGTTGGGACTGCATGACGACCGCGCCAACAAGGTTGGTCGGCCGTAAAGGCGAAGCAGCGAAGCTTCGACCGCGGAAGGTTTCGATGACCGATGCGTTTCCAACAGAGGTCAAGTGAAGAGGTCAAGGGACCTGAACTATAGTCTATAAATGTCTATAAGAGTTCTATTGGGTTCTAGAAGTACCTATATAGTCGAACGTTCGGGTTCTGACCCACCTCTGCTGGTTCTGGGTTTTGGCTGTTCGGTTCATATCCCAAACGCTCCGGACTGGCATATTTGGGGGGGCCAATTGATCGGCATATATGGCAGTCCCATGGAGCGTCGGGGTATACTTTCCCAATATGTCCCATATATAGAGGATCCCGAACTGAGTGAAATCCCTTCTGGCGGCGAGGTGTCCCGGCGACAGTTGTGAAAGAGCTGCCAAGAGCTGCTCCTAGGAACTAGGTCTAAGATGTTTACCCTATAGGCTTCCTGGCCCACCATGAATAGGCAGGTCATCCCGAATCAACTAAGGATTTTACACTACAAACACCAGGTCAACAATTTTTTCCAATGGTCTTGGAAGTCTAGGGCTCTACGGACTCTAGGGTTTATGTTCACCTGATGTTTACCCCGGGTTCCTGGACAGCAAGTCCCATCAGATGGGGTCGCCATTCTACGTAGGGCTCCGTACCTCCGGTCGAAGCTACGAAACGAATCCCCGAAGGATGCATAATCAACAGACCCAGTCAGTGGACCATGGATCACCTTCCCAACCCCTTGGGAGTGGCATGCCACGAATTTCAACAAGAACAGGCAGCCCGAGGACAGGTCTCCGAGTTTGGGAGGCCTGGCTGACCTCAGGTGGTGACCTGGCAGGCTTCGGGTGCAGAGTTTTCGTTCGGGATGCTGCGAGGTGGCGATGGCGCTGGTCCGCAATGCACGCTTTGAGGGGGACAAAGACACAACCCTAAGAACCCCTATGGATCCACATACCTTCTGAAAAGGTACTTGGGCCCTCCAAGCCTACATAAATAGTCTCCAATCACCTTCTGAGAAGGTATACTTGGATCCCTAGGGAAATCTTTGGACCTGGCCACCGAACTGGAGGCTTTTGACCCGGCAGGTTCGGGGGCCCGACAGGACCCGAGGGTACATACCTTAAACCACCTGAACGGGTCGGGTGGACGATGTTCCACCCGATCAAGATCCGCACCCGGGGCCCGACCGCCACCCTTGTGAACGGCAGGGGTGAAGAACCCCGGATTCGCCATGGTTCGGGTCCGGACGGCCGGATCCTATCCGCCCAGACGCTCATGGGCCCTCATATGGAGGGGTCGGACCCTCATATGGAGGGGTCTGGGGTCTCAAATCCATGGGTTTTGAGGGACCAAGGGTTGTTTGGAGCATCTGGGCGGGCAGGGATTTCCGGCGGAGTCAGCCCTTCGGCACTCCGCCTCTCCACGATCCGAGAAACGAGGTGGGGCATCGGGCGAGAGGGCTTGTACCGATTGGCCGCTGGGTGGCAGGTTGGGTGGGTTCTTCCCGAAGATGGTGCGCCTGGGGGTTGGAACTCCGTTCTAAAACTGGCAATGCAATCACCTGAATCACCCGGTGTCTTCATTTCCCTCCCAGCATGGGGTGCCGAAGGCCAGCACAAGTGGACAGACCCAAGACCTGAACTTTTCGAGAAAAGAGAGATGGGGGGGGTGCACCCCAGAATTTAGTATAGAGAAAATAACTACTTTTGGAACGAGAATGGGAAGAAGCGAGGGTGCATCAGTGCATCCTTCCATCTTCAAGAGAACACAAGCTCTGCAAAAAACAGTTTTCAGACGCCTTGAGAAAGAACAAGCAAACAGGGCCCGGGCATTTTGCAGAGAAAGTAGACCGAAATAATGAGGGTGTCTCATCATCACCCTGTGAATTTCAACTGGGCTTCCTTTATCGTGACCATGGAACCGGGTTGAATTTCAAAAGTTCCTGTTTGATCCTTTTGGGGGCACTGAGCATTCGCAGATGGCTTGATCTGGTGACAGGAGGGGGTCCTTACTCACCCTGCAGACAAAGATGGGTCCTTGAAGAAGCAGTGGAAGAAGATTGTCCTTTTTGCGAGGAGTGGTGGAACCCCACTCAACACGAACAGCCAGCTTCTTCAGTTCGTGACCTTTTGAAGGTTCCTTTTCGTGACCCTTCGGAGGCAGGCCTAAGTGGCCAGGTTATCAAGTTATACCCAGACGCTCCAAACAACCCTTGGTCCTTCAAAACCTAAGGATTTGAGACCCCAGACCCATCTCCATATGAGAGCCCATGAGCGTTTGGGTAGGTCCCTTTGAAGAACCAGGAGGTAGAAAGTTCGGTTCACCTTCATGTTCCACGGAAACTGAAGGAGTCAGGAAACGGAGTTCTCAGCGGAATGGTTCCACTCGATTGGTCGACTTCGACGATGCGATTGAGCAACCCCTGCCAGACGATGCGACTACAGCATTCCTTTACAGCAAAACTTCCCACACATCTCAGGCTGACCGTTGATTTGAGGTCCAAGTAGGCCTCTCAAAACTACTATTATATCTGCTTGGTGCACCAAAGCTGACCGCTCCAAGACGGGCCTTCTTTCGACCCAACCCCGAGGGCGGATTGGCGGAAGAACTGTTACGCCACTTGGGCGGAAGCTGTGGGTGAGCGGAAGGCACAACGCCCGGGGACCGCAGGGTCTGCCGGACTGAAGGCCCTGAGGCCAAGGGCATGGGGGGGTCAGTGAAACACTCATGGGGGGGTTGACCTGGGGTCAATGTATCGATCCATGTATAGGTAGGACTTAAGGATCTGCACCCTCAAAAACAAGGGTTAAAACAAGGGTTTTGAGGGTACAAACCCTTGTGATAGAGGACTATTTTGGACGCCTGCCACGGCCTGCCTGTCGCTGTGCTCGGTTGCTTTCATTATCTTTCACCTTCAGTGGGCCGTTGGGCATATGGCCATCAATGGAAGGAACTTCTTTGGCTCCATGACACCTACCCTCCCAAGCCCAACGAAGTGGAATTCACCCTGGTCTTCGGAAAAAGATAGGTCTTTCCAGTGGTCATGCCATCGACTTCCATGAGTACGTTGAACAGGAGGGTCACCCAACATGGATGCCATTGGCTGAGCTCATGAGCCCTGCGATTCCGGATCCGCAGCATGTCGATTTCACGAGTCAACGAGACATCTCACAGACCGCCAGACTCTGAACTGACCCGAAGTCGCTCTTGTCAGTATAAGCGGCGCGACGGCGTGCACCGATGGGTGCGAACAACGCCGGCTTTGGGTTTCCCCGGCCTGAAGACGAGGTCGAGGTGCATCCGGGACGCAGAAGACTGAAGATGGCGTGTGAAAAACCAGACCCCTGTAGATCCTATAGTCACAGCCCCTTTAGGTCTCGAAGACATGTCTGACAAAACCAGGTGAAACCCTAAACCCTATATGAGCAAAGAACTGGACTGGACAGCCCAGGGATTCCTATAGAAGGATATCGACTGGACAGCCCCTGAACCAACCCGGTCCATTTCGGCCGTTGATGTCGACATCCCGGCCCCTTCCATTGACTATAGTCTTCCTGCGTCCCATCTCAGGACCCAGAGAACAAGTACAAGAAGAGATTTCAGCCGCCCAGCGAGATCGACCATGATGTGACACCACCCGTTTTGCGTTTTGGCGTTTTGGGAATGCCAGATGTGCCAGACTTGATTCGTCCGGGTGGCGCGCTTGCGGGGTTCAATTCGGCATATAATATTATATATACATCATTATACATCTAATATACGCATTGGTACATACTGAGTCCACTTGATGGTTTTGTTCCGGTCCATTGAACCCCTCGCTTCCAGATGCTTTCCAAGGTAGAACGTAACTCGTCCAGAATCACGTACAGCCGAGGTGAGCCCCTTGAGTTGGAACTGGCCCACCAGCCACCAGGGATGTATGGATGTATTGGAGATCCTGGATAAGTTCACTTTCCGAACCCCACATGGAAGTGGACCTGGTTCTTCAAAGTGACCTTTTGATCCCCTGGTTTGAGGTCACGAACAGGCCTGGAAAAGGTCGCTTGGGGACTCCAAAAAGGTCACGAACTGAAGAAGCTGGGAGACCCTTGCTTCCACTGCAATCCTAGTGACTAGGGAGTCGGAGATCGCACGCCCACCGGCAGCACCTAGGGACTTCCAGACAACCGTGGTCACTTGCTTGGTCAGCCTCCTCTTCGCTGTAAAGCAGCAGAGGTCAAGAACTGGTAGAACTTTGTAGAACGATGTTTGATGTGGTTGTTGACGGGATGTGGTGTTTGACGGTTCCCTTATTTAAAGCATGTTTGCATAATCACCCAGATGCTCAGGAAGACGGACAATCCGGATAAGACCATGAAAGTGGAGGTCGTGGCCACGGACTACTGTGGCGAGCTTAGTTTCCATGCAAGCTACTGTGGCGGTGATGTGGTCTGATCGATTCTGAGAAATTCCGAACTCCGATCGATTCTGAATACCGGACACTCCATGTGGAATAGCATGGAAGATTTACCGTTACCGACTCCTTGGGGTGGTTTCAGATGATTTAGGCGAATGATTGTAGGCATGCGTATATTCCATACATGGAGCGTTTGGGCTATTGCCCCAATGATGTCGAAACATGTTTCTTCTCTTCTACCCAGTGGGCTTTGAATAGCCTCACCCCTCCAACTTGTCCTATTCATTCCTATTCTCAGAGATGTGCAAGATTTCCCTGCTCGGAGGCAATCAACTTCCCTTTCAACACCCAGGATGGAACACCCCTTAACCTTTTGCTGGATGGACATATCTCCAGCCACATCTAGCTTTATGAATGGCAGGCGGTTCTTCCACAGATATGCCACCTCTCGCGTTTTTTTCAGTTGAGGTTCCTCAAATCGTCAACTGCGTGGGGGGTCCTCAACTTTTCCACATCACCAATCATCATCGGGTCCTCACCCCTTCACCACCTACCAAACTTGGCCCTTCTTTTGAAGGGTGGACAAGGTCACAACATGTCCCAAGTCTCCAGACACAAAAGGCTGTACACCGCAAAACAAGGCCCGTGAACAAAAGCCTCCCCTGAAAGCTGGGCTAGACACGCAGCTTAAAAGCGCAAGTGGTCCAGCAAAGCCATTGTGACAAGGGGAACATGGCAAAAACACGGGGCTGAAAAACAATGGGCGGTGGGGAAGAGCCGTTCCCTGGACTTGGCCCAGAGCAGAATTCCAACACCACACACAAAGCTCCCGCGCCCCTTGGCGCCGATCACTGAGTGATACTCGGGAGAGCAAAAAGAAAGGGGTGAGAGTGGCTACCTCAGGCGACCCCCCTCAGCAAGGTTCAGGGCGAAGGAAAGGAGCACGCATCTGCAAGGCCAGCCCCAGCCCGACGCAGGGCAACGTCTCGGTCGGGACGGACGCGGACTCACCCGTTCGGCCGGCCACTGCGTGCGCGAGGCGCTTCCACGTAGCACACGCGGCAGGAGCCCAACCGCCAGCGCAGGCCTCCGCCACTAGCCGCACTAGCCGGGACAAATTGAAGACCCTCGGCCACGCAGGTGGCTTCTGTCTTCTGGTGGGCCCTTTTGCGAGCTTCATAGTCAGCAGCCGACCGGCCACCGTCCTGGGCTGAAGAAGCAGCCGCGCCCATTCTCAAACCAGACGTCACAGCCAGGTCGAGAGCAGCCGCACCATGAAGGCCCCAGTGCGGGACGTAGACATCCGCAGGGCGGCGTCCATTGCCGTGGCGGGCACCGTCCTCAGAAGCACCATGAGGATCAAGCCGCGGTGGGAGCAAACCAGGCTTCTCGATTTCAGGGTGAAGACCAGCAGCGTTGGCCCACGTTGCGACCACGGTGCGGAGCCGGTTGTGTCGCTTTGTCCTGTCGCCCCCACAAGGGCAAACCCGTGCATGATCTCCATAGGAGTCACACACTCCGTCACAGGCGCAAGCAGTATCCCCCGGATGAACTTGCAGGCGGAGGCGCAAGCGGGCCATGATCCGGAACAAGACACTGTCCACATGCAGGCCCAGAGCAGCACAAGGAAGGGCTTGGAGCCACGCACCTGCTCCGGGTTCTTGAAGGAGTTGGAAATGCGCCGGGAAAGCTTCATGGCCCGGAACAAACCGAAGCAAGCTCAGCAGCTGTGAACCTGTCCACTGCCCGTGACAAATCTTGTTGTCGAAGGGTTGGTGGCGGTGGGGAAGGAACATGGTCGCTGGCAAGCAGGGATTCGTTGAGGTTGGAGAGAACTGTGTCCAAGTTGGAGTTGTAGGCAGGGAACAATGAGCAGCAGACGCTGGTCGTGGCCAGGACAGAAGCTGCGTAAGCAGCCCCACTGTGTCGAGAGACGCTGCGTAAGCCCAGCCCACCACACTTTGTAGACAGAGTGGCCTGCAAGCAAGCCCCTCGCGACAAGGCCCCCGTGCAGCAGCATTCCAGGCATTGTAGGACGGAAGAATCATAGGTTTTCAATGCGTCCACATGGAAAGGGGGAGGGGTAACCCGACTTGAATAAACCAATTTGGACCAGGAAGCACAGTGCCGGAGGAGCAGCAAAGCAGTTTGGCTATCTGGCAGCTGGCTTAAGGCATTCAAAAGGGGCTGTGTCCCGGCCGCCCGTTGCACTGTGTGCTGGTGGCAAAAAGAGGGGCTCCCAATGGCTGCGCCCAGCAGAACAAATTCGCCAGTGGTGTTGAATGGCAAACCTGTCGGGAAAAGGCCCATCGGTTTGTTCCGCTCATCATCCTGATCATGCCCTGGGTGGCCAGTTGTCTTCAGACTTTAGCAGGATTGCCCACATCAGACTACCTCGAACCTGAGTTGACCCCGGGATTGGAGCCAATCAAGAGCTGGTTGCCTTTTTTCAGTCTTGTCAGCCTAGCAAATCAGGCCAGGGGCCAAACGGGTCTTATTTGTAGTTTTATCAATATTCCACCAAAAATGTTGCGTTGGCACACGCCTGAGGTGTGGAGTACGACCTTCACCCCTACTGCCAGGCGGGGGTGAAAGAGAGGATTTGCTCATGTCTCGACGAAGCGGCACTTCTTATCAATTCACGTCGGTGAATTGAAGGTCATAGTCATAGTCTTTCATAGGAGTCTTCACTGGTCCTGGTCCTGACAAGGCTTTTGGTCAATAAGCATCCGCACCCGAAACGAAACAAAGGGTTTGGTTCGGGGCCCCTGCCACCCTTGTGAACGGCAGGGCTTCGACCCCGGACCGCCATGGTTCGGGTCGGTTCGGAGGTTCGGATCCTTATAGGAAGAGATGATCCATCTGGGGATCTGGGGAGACCGTGGCCAGTGGGTACCCACCTGGACCCCCCAACCGGTCGTCCACCGTCCGACACCAGGGTCGCTGGTGCCCGGTGGGTCTCCTGGTGCCATGACCCGTGGTCCACCAAACGCCTTCGGAGGACGCGTGTCGTCCGATGGCCAGGATCGAGAGGGGCTTTGCACCAACGTGGACTGTCAAGGGCTGACAGACTCCGAGAAAGAGATTGGATTGCCTTTCTGGCTGGGCAGGCGCCACACCACTCGGCGCTCCTCGGGGGGTTTGGCCGAGCGCCGCGGTCCGACGACCGGAAGGAGGAGCGAGCGGTCCTCGGAAAAATCCCCAGACAGCGAACGCGTGGAAGGAGGAAGGTAGGAGGAGGCGAGTCCGTCTCTAGGTGCGACGTTTGGGTATGTGGGGATCGACATCTGGGTCCAACTTGCCAAGTTGGTGTTTGGTGTTTTGGGGTGCCTTCTGACTGCGAGTCCAGTCGTTTTACAATGGTTTGAGATAGATAGATGACCCGAGTCTGTCCTTCAGTGGGGTAGCAACTGGTGTGGGTGTAATAGAAGAGCCCACCTGCTGGTCGATGTCCTTTCTTCTAGGAGGTCTCCCTATCTGAATCCACAGCCAAAGCCCAGGGCATCCAGGCAAACCACGATGTCGCTGGTAACCAGTGGTTCCAAAGACCGCACACCATAGACCGGTTCCGAATCCCTGGCTCCTTATACAATCATATATAGTGGTTTGCCTGGGATGCACTGGGTTCAACTTATAGCCTTCATTTGGACTGAAGCTGGATAGAGTGCTACTGCTTCACCTAGCCCTGGCGGCCGTGTTTCACCACCCTCGAACGCCTCCCTGGAGGCGAAGAACAGCACTGGGGTGTCTCTCTCTCTCTCTCTCTTTGTCTCTCTCTCTCTCTTTGTTTGTCTGTCTGTCTGTTTGTTTGTTTGTTTGTCCCTCTGAAAGTGCCTGTTCAAAGTGCCTGAGCAATCCAGTTAGCCATCCACAGCAGGTTAGCCATCCACTTGTCATGCGAGACACTACACTGGCCGTGAGACGCGACAGAGCTAGAGCCAGCAAGCGAGGCATGCCACGAAATCACAAGTTCCCACATGTTCTACATGTGCTATACCTGGACCCTCCTGTCGGGGTGCCCTGTCTGGAAGCCGAACGGCCGGTAGTGTGGAGTAGTCCAGCCAGGACACCCCGACAGGAGGGTCCTGGTATATAAGCATCCATGGTGTTTCACTCGGATGGTGCTAACTATGTTCATTTTAGGCACCCTGAAGCGTCCCGCCCTATTAGAAACCAATGAGTTGATGTTCTTAGATGTTCTTAAACCAGTGAGGTTCATGTGGTGGAGAATTCAAAGAACATGGGCTTTTTGCTTGATTCATTGGCTTTTTCTTGTGGAGAATTGCGGTCTTTTGATTCATTGGCTTTTTGTAGGAATGCTTGGAATGGAGCATTGGTTGGTGTACATTTGCTTTCGCGCGGTGGGCCTTCAGGTGCGAGGAAGGGCAGAATACCAAGCGAGCAGAGGCCATTGCAAGAAAGGCCCTGGGGCAGGCACGCGGCTTAGTGCAGTCTCCTCCCCTTGCGAAGTATGAACCCTAAATATGCACCCCAGCCAGGAAAAGTGAATAACCTGCAAAATCTGTGAACTTGTGGAAAACGGTTAGTTTTTATAATTCAGGGACACTGGGGGATTTAGGACAGTTAGGCACAATACCACTATATATTGACAATGGACTAGTTTGTGGCACTCTTTAGTAGTTGTATGCCCTGGGGATCCAGTCGTACCTTCTCAGGTACGGTGATGTTCGACACTGTTAGTTGCCGGTGCCCAGTCGGCTCCAGTCCTGTTTCCTGGCGTGTTCGCCGCGCAACACGCGCAGGAGAACTTGAAGAACCACGTCATGGTAGACAAGGACGGTGTTCGACGGCCGATCCAGTGAGCCCTCTATGTTGATACGACGCATGGTTCCTATCCCAGACGCGACAGTTGGGGACTGGAATGCCGAGAAACGGCCAGGGGTGGTGCCAGGGGGGTCAATGGCATATATGGCAGTCCCATGGAGCGTTTGGGTATACAAAGAACCAGGAAGATGTTGGTCTCCCCCAAGAATTGAAGTATCAATGCATGTATATAGGTACAATTACTGTATACTATATAAAACATCTTTAATTCAATACCATGCAACCCATGACATTCGAAAGACCAGAAATCACTAACGGTCGACCGACTGCAGACACTTCGGACGGTCGACCGACGCATTCTGCAGGAGTTGCTGACGAGCAACTTCAAATGTGGCTCCGGCAGCGGCATGTGCAAACCCAACCCCGACGGCGGGCCGCCGCTTGGCCGATGACGGTGAGCTAGAGCTCGTCGGCGCGAGCTTCGGAGGTAGGGAATTGAGGTGGCTGAGGAGTGCCATATGGCGCGGCTGAAACGAAACGACATGAGGCAAAACCCCTCATCCCCCACTAGCAACCCCAATTATATAACTATAGCTGGAATTTGAGAGATCCAGTAGTAGATAGTAGATTGTACATCTAGAATGTATTAGTTATGTAGATGTAGATGTAGTAGTAGCAGTAGTAGCCGTACTTGTACGTTGTACCACCAGCAAACCTCCGAAGAGGTTAAACAAGGATCCGAAAACAGTAGCAGTAGTAGAACATAGCAGAACAATAAGAAAACAAAGCTCAATTGTTCGTTCCATGCACCCCAAGTTGGTGCATTAACCCACCCCCTACACAATTAATTCATTGCCCTTGGGCTTGTGCACTACTTCCTTGAAAGTTGTTTGGAGCAATGAATTCCATGAGTTGTAGTAAAGGGTGTTTGAAACAGGTTTTCCGGTCAGAGTGCGAGGAATCAAGCAATCCTTAGGAGATGTTAAGCAAGGGTCTGAAAGCGCCACAACAGCTGAACAAAATCGATAAACAAAGCACACCTCAAAAGGAAACACGACCTTGTGCGAATTGTTGGTCCAACAACTATATGCACGGTGTGGGAATAACGTCGCAAAAATGTTCCATGATTCCCTCCCAATTGACAGGATTCAACATTACTTACCCTTCAACAACGTTTGTGGTTCAAACTCTGAAAGGTACACTCCCTGAAATCCTCATGGACGTGGATGGCACCCCCGACACGACACTCTGCACGAGGATGTCAGGCGGTCTTCCGAACTCAGGATCCATGCCGTCTGGGAGTGTGTACTGTGTACTGTCCCTACACCTCCAGTCGTACCTCCTCAGGTTCGGTGCTATTAGACCCTCCTGGCACCCACCCACCCCGGTCCCACCTTCGAAACGAAGGTACGACTGGAGGCCAAACGGGTGTGTGCATCGCTTGGCCCGGGGGAGTGCCAACTTGGCCATAAGACCCAACGGAACATCGGCCAGGGATCCACTGCCTGCCCAGGGATCCACTGCCACCTTTTCAGGTACTTGGACTGTGCAAACATACATAAAAGTGTCTCCACTCACCACCTCAAGTAGTTTGACGTCATATCCCTCTGGCTCCTGGCCCATATCCTCAGAAGGTGGTTAGACCCCCATGGCACCCACCCCAACCACCGAACCTCAGGAGCTAGTTGGAGCCCTAGGGGAACCGAAAGCCGTGGCATCTGTGTGATTCACTGTCCATGAGTCGAGGTACTGCTCGCGGCAGTTTGGAGGAGTTTGCACCCCGCTGGCGCCCTAGTGGAGGCGCTGCAATCAACTCGCAGCCTTCACCTTTCCAGCGTTCGTGGCTGAGGTGCTACATCCCCGGAACCAAGGCAGGCGGTCGCGACATCGGCGTTCACGGACCGTGCATGTGAAGAACGGACTGCGCGGACCGGTCTTGGCAATTTAAAAACCTATTCCCCGGTCCAGTACGGGCTTCCAGCAACGCTTTCTTGGTGGCTGTGCAGCCAGGATGGCCCAGGATGGCCTGCGTTCGCGTATTCTTTGGAAGAAACATCCCTTGACGAACCAAGCACGAACTGAAGGTTCCAGGCCTTCGGCGTGATGTTTTGCATCAGTATGTGGACTTTACACGTTTCTGAGCACATGAGGAACCTGCGCACCAGGTATATAGTGGTTTCTGAGGAGATGGCAAATCACCAAATTGGGTGATTTAGATGGACCCCCATCTAAAGGACATGTAGGGGTGCCATTTGCTTTATATAGCCAGCTCCTGAGGGGCCCTAATCCTGCAGGGTTCGAGCGATTGTGTTGAAGCCGCACCGCCTCCGCCAGCTTCCCTTCCAAAACGCTGCACAGTTCGTGACATGTCCGCCGGGGCTCTTAAGGCGATGTGCGCTTTTCTGTGGGCCCGGGCTTGGTGATGGTGGGTTTAGTCGTGCAAGTGTTGAGTTTAGTTGGTGTGATCAGCCAGGCTCTGTGCACCAGGATCCACAAAAGGGGTGGTTGATGGACACCGGTCAACCTCATCTCAGGCTATTAGACTCCAGTTTGTCCTAACTGTTCCTAACTGCTTTTTCCCAGACACTCCATGATATATTTTACCTACATTCACCCCTGAAACCATCCCAACGTATGTATAACTTCAGGAGGAAGAACATTTGGTAGCAACTTCACGCGAGAAACCCACAACATGACTTCTTTTTCCCAATGGAATTCCAACGGACTTATTTCCACCCTGAACCAAAATATGTAGTTTGGGGTGGACATTAAAGAAATTAGTCCGCCCGAACTCCACTGTGATCCCTTGTAGAATTCTTGAAGGGGAAAGGGTTAAAATAGTGGTTGTAATGTATTCAATGTAATCACAGGCTTCCAACAGAGGTATCCAGTGACCTGAACTAGGACCCGTCACCTAGGGTACCTAGAGGATAGTCTAGTTTGGCTTCTGACCCACCTCTGCTGCTTGGCAAACCCATTCTGCTCCTGACGGTCGTCAACCTCTGTCGGCTTCCAGACGGGTCGTGTATTCCTGGCGAAGCACCACGGTGGCTGCGCTGAGGTTTGACGTCCTGGCCATCGGCGGCTATACCCCACCACAGGGCACCGAGTGCAGCTGGCCGGAGATGAAGGGCAGCCAGCCGCCTTTTGGGGCTTAGGGTCCTACCCAGGAAAAGTTGATCACTTTTTGTTTTTTTGGGGGGTTATTATGATTAATATGGTTTATACTTAATTTCACCATATTTCACCATCAATTCGATCTCGATCTCATTATCAGATGGAACAGATGGAAAAAACGGCTTGGCCAATTTGCTTTCCACAGAACAGATGAGCAGCTTCAAAAACCTCTATGATGGAAAGTGTGCAAACTGTAATCTCACATTCTTTAAAAGCCAAAACGCAGGTCGCGAAAGGTTCGCGAAAGCCCCGCGAAAGAACCCCAGAAGAACAGCGTCGCGAAAGCTTTCGCGAAAGTCGAATTTCTTGTGCATGTCGTGTTGTTTATGTGGGTGACCATATTTTTATGCAGGCAGCCGCAGCAGGCCAGCCAGCCAGCCAGCCAGCCGCAGCACACCAGCCAGCAGCAGCAGCAGCGCTGAAGAGCAAGTGTTTCAGGGGAAAATCGAAAAGCCCAGACGAATTTCCGCGAAACCCGCGCGAAAGCCTCGCGAAAGAACCGCGAAAGTCGAAAATATCCGGGAAAGGTATCTGGCCCCAGCAAAAAGTTTCAGCAAGTTTTCCTCCTCTTCTGATGACAACAATAATACTTGAACGGTGCTGCTACAACTCCTTGTGCCAGGATGTTGCCGGAAAGAAATTTGTTCAGTTTTGACCACCCTAAGGACACTTATATCGGATAACTTATACCCTGGAAGTCCAAAGACTATATTTTGACCGGCTGAAGTAAAGGAAGTTCCCTTTCAGGTCCCCTAAAGACCATTCTTTTTATGGTCTTTGACTCCCAGGGTATATAGATCAATCACTTTATTGTACAATATCCCAATCGAATTTCCCAATCGAAAACGAATCGCCGCGAAAGCCGCCGCGAAAGCCCCACATAACACCACACCTTCCGCGAAAGCCAGAATGCAGGCCGCGAAAGCTCCGCGAAAGCTTTGCGAAAGCAAACCTGGATTATACAAAAAAGTAATAGGGGTTTTCGAAGCTGCTCAGATGGGAAGTCAATTGTGATTCCTGCGATTTGGCACCGTTCTTTTCCAGTACGCCAAGCCAGATGCTCGATTTGGCCGCCACGGCCACGGTCACTCCGTGCCACGAAGCATCTCGGAGGACCATCTCGGAGGACCATCTCTCGGTCGATGGACCGCGGACCGCGTGCCACGACGGCGATGTCCGCGAAGCGCCGCCGAGGCAAATCGCAGGATGCTGCGGACATTTGTTGCCTCTACGGCATTGGCGGTGGCTGCAGCAAGTCCTACGCCGACGGACCGGTCACCCAAGCCGTCGCGAGCCCGCGTCGGTCTCGCCGCTCGGGGGTCTTTTGTATAGGCATCCGCGGTGGAGGTTGGTGTTGGACGGAAAGAGAGTGGTCGGTCTTGGCCGGAGGGGTGCTAATGTGCAAAGTGTGGCTATACCCTATTGGAATTGTTTGCAACAATAGTTCCTCACAGAAGGAGTTCAGAGATGCTTGACATGTCTGAGACGGATGCATTGGCAGTCTCTTCACATCCCGCCACGTTCGATCCGAGTCGTGCCCGACTGACTTCTCGATATGCGCTGGTCGTGCTTTCCTCGTCCTGCGGTTTCACTCTTTCACTCACACGTCGACGAGCATCCCATCGATGTTAAATGACCTGAACGTTCGGACCCGGAAAACCTGGGGTAAACTAGGTCCTGCGGATGCCCAGCGATGGAAAACCGGTCGTGCGACCAGGATCCTCGGCTGACTTGACGGTGGCAGGCAGAGCTGGGTGAGCTCGAGTGTTTTTGAAGTGCCGGGCCCTGGTCGGATATTACAGCCCCGAGCAGAGGTGATTCGAGGGATCCATGAAAACCACCCCGTATAAGATTGGTATACAGTGTTGCATGATGTTGCAGCATATTACTAGATGTGTGATGGATTCGACCATGGTGTGCACTGCGATGTATGCCCCTGAGGACTTTATAAATATATCGAATTAATTTAGACTCTTGACTCTTGATTAATAAACCCCCCATATGAAGAGGACTTCCAATTCAAGTGGAAGGGTTTATTAATCAAGAGTCTACATCAGTTATTTCAGCCCCTGGCATGTTGGTGAGGAAAGGAAGATAAGCTCCGAGTCACTCACATGGAAGTGGAACACCAGCCCACCCGGTTTGTAGAGGAAGCATGCTAATGCTCATCCCAACTCGGGGCCCCATCCACGTAACCATTCCCAGACACTCCTAATGGGACTGGAATATATGCATACATTGACCCTTCAAAATCATACATATGGCATACATGGAGTGTTTGGGATTGGATCGAGGGTACTTTGTTTGAAGGCGCCACGTTTGTAGACGAACGTCGGCGTCGAGCGGCTGACAGACGACGCTGACGGACGGACCCCTCACGGCGAGGCTTCTTAGGGGTGATGGCTGCGTCGCTGAAGGACAGGGAGGGGGTGCCTCGGGGGTTCTCTCGTGGTGTTAAGAACTGGGTTCTCTCGGGGTCTATGTGAAGTTCATGTAGGCTTGGATTATTCGCACGCTCCGCGATGATGGTAAAACCCCCTTTCATATAGATGGGGGATTTGGTTATATAAGCTTCAAGATTTCAAGTCAAACCAGCTTGCAGTCGCCCTGCTCGGTCCAAGTCAGCAGTGAACGCTTCAAGGCAGTCCTGGCAGTTCTTCACTGCCACTTTTTGGACCATAGCTCAAGAATCCCTTGATTGATCAAACACTATTATAGTGAATTTAACAATCTATAAGATATCGTTTCTGCCTTCGGAGCTGTATCGCTTTTCAGGACCCGGATCAGATGTACAACTTCGCCGTGCATTGGATCCAGGCCACACGGAAAGCCGCCGAAGTACGCCACTAGGAGCAAAGGCCATCGCTACTATAGGAGCAAGGACGCTACTAGGGGCTCCTGGCCGTACTACTAGGAACAAGGACGCGGTCTCGGGAAGACTCTCTGTGCTTTGGCCGATCGGCCATCCACTGGAAGGGACATCCAAGAGTCACATGGAGGGAGTTGGGTGTAGCGCATGGGGGGTGTGGAGGTGAGGCTGTCACGGGGCACCCCGGAACCGGCACGGATAACACCCCTTTGAGGCTCCTGCGATGTGACATGGTTTTGTACACCCGGGAAGATGAACGGCATGAACCCGGTGGTTTTTGAGGGTTCCGTGTGTTCATCTTCAAGGGGTATCAAAGTAACTTTTCCAATCATAGCGCCTCCTTGGGATGTTTTGATGACACTTAGTTATAGATTTTGTTCAGTCAACCATAGAAAGACGCTCCTCGAACATAGAAAGTGCCGGTGAGGAGAATGGAGGAAAAGTTGAGAAGGAGGCCTTGGTGGCGGGAGCACGGACGGGAGCACGGAGAGGTTCAGAATCGTTTGATTTCGTAATGACATACCACAGATCATCATAGATGTGGCTTGGAGTTCAAATCAATCTTCTCAAGCTGTAGTTGGGGCTATATCCTTTGGCAGGTGCGCTTTGTTTCTGGCTCCAGCAGGAAAAGACACGTACTTTTAAACATCTAAATGACCGATCTGGAGTACTGTAGCGTTTTTCTTTTGTTGAATGATAAAGTTTTTCTTTTGTTGAATGATAAAGTATAGGCACTTGACCTTTCAAGAAACAAAACATATCAAAGCATTGAAAAAGAACGAGGACAGGAGACCAGGGCATGTTGAGAAAACACGGCTTTTTGTTGGGACTCTTTGTCCGTTGACATGTCTTCAAACGGTCTGGACGGGTCTTGAACTCCCCAGCAACGGGTCTGGCGTGACGTACTTTTAGACACTGCTTTCTGCGGTCGATGGTTCCTGTCGATCACCTCCCGAACTTGGCAAGGTTCGCAGTTGCAGACGTTACTAGCTGGCAAGTTCGGGTGACTTGGTTTACAACTTCCCGAACTGGGTGAATCCTTGCAAATCTGGTGATGATATATCCAACAAAGGTGAAGTGACCTTATTAATAGGGCCCGTCACCTGGGCGAACTATAGGATACGTCTAGTTGGGGTTCTTCAACCTTTGTTGGTATGTCTTGTTTTCCCGGCTGGAGCCGATCCACAAGTGTCCTTCGTTCGACGTCCACCGCCATCAATCGACCGCCGGTAGCAGGCTTCGCCGCGGTGGGTGAACTGATGGATCCTGAGAACTGGGCTTAGACGGAAAAACTGATCAAAGACGGAAAGGTCTGATCTCCAACTGATAGATCTCCATCAGGTCCTGACCAACACGATGGTATGCTCTTAGATGATTCATCCCCCCATGTACCTGGGAACCTTCAGGACTCGTGACCGAACTTAGTTCGGTCACCAGCGTAAGTTCGGTCACAAGCTGGGGCCTGGAAGTTCGGTCACTTAGTAATTAAGGCACTCCCTCCAATTCGAGGTCACGAACTGAAGAGGTCGCTGGTAAAGGTTGACATTCACTTCTAAGATAAACATATCAAAGGAAGGTGAAGCAGAGGTTTCACAACCCAGCTTTTCATGTGCACCGCCTGGAGCCCTTGGAAAGACCAGGTTCCCCTGTGGTTCAGACCATGGGGATGGTCCGAGGGATGGTGAAGACGAACGTTCCACTTGGCAGGACCAGTTGAAAGAGGAAGTCTATTGGATGTGGCGAATTCATCCCAGCAAGCGTGCGGCGGAGGACTGGACCCGACCTTCCTTGGTCATTGTCCATTGCTACTAGTAACTAGAACGCTACTAGGGGCTCCTGGCCTTACTACTAGGAACAAGAAGCTACTAGGGGCTCCTGGCCTTACTACTAGGAGCAAGGACGCTACTAGGGGCTCCTTACTACTAGGAGCAAGGACGCTACTAGGGGCTCCTGGGGCCATACTACTAGGAGCAAGGACGCTACTAGTGGCTCCTGGCCTTACTACTAGGAGCAAGGACGCTACTAGGGGCTCCTGGCCTTACTACTAAGGACGCTACTAGGGGCTCCTGGCCTTACTACAAGGAACAAGAAGCTACTAGGGTCTCCTGGCCTTACTACAAGAAGCTACTAGGGGCTCCTGGCCTTACTACTAGGAGCAAGGACGCTACTAGGGGCTCCTGGCCTTACTACTAGGAACAAGAAGCTACTAGGGGCTCCTGGCCTTACTACTAGGAGCAAGGACGCTACTAGGGGCTCCTAGCCTTACTACTAGGAGCAAGGACGCTACTAGGGGCTCCTTACTACTAGGAGCAAGGACGCTACTAGGGGCTCCTGGCCATACTACTAGGAGCAAGGACGCTACTAGGGGCTCCTGGCCTTACTACTAGGAGCAAGGACGCTACTAGGGGCCCCTGGCCTTACTACTAGGAGCAAGGACGCTACTAGGGGCTCCTGGCCTTACTACTAGGAACAAGAAGCTACTAGGGGCTCCTGCCCTACTAAGGACGCTACTAGGGGCTCCTGGCCTTACTACTGGGAACAAAAGCTACTAGGGGCTCCTGGCCTTACTACTAGGAGCAAGAAGCCTACTGGGCTCCTGGCCTTACTACTAGGAGCAAGGACGCTACTAGGGGCTCCTGGCCTACTACTAGGAGCAAGGATGCAAGGACGCTACTTGGGCTAGGGGCTCCTGGCCTTAGTACTAGGAGCAAGAACGCTAGGAGCAAGGACGCTACTAGGTGCTCCTGGCCTACTACTAGGAGCAAGGACGCTACTAGGGGCTCCTGGAGCAAAGGGCATCGCTACAAGGGCATTGTACTAGGAGCAAGAATGCTACTAGGGGCTCATTGCCTACTACTGCGAGCAAGGACGCTACTAGGGGCTCCTGGCCTACTACGAGGAGCAAGGACGCTACTAGGGGCTCCTGGCCTACTACTAGGAGCAAGGACGCTACTAGGGGCTCCTGGCCTTACTACTAGGAACAAGAAGCTACTAGGAACAAAAGGGCATCGCTACTAGGAGCAAGGAAGCTACTAGGGGTTCCTGGCCTTACTACTAGGAACAAGAAGCCACTAGGAGCAAATGGCATCGCTACTAGGAGCAAGGACGCTACTAGGGGCTCCTGGCCCTACTACTAGGGACAAGAAGCTACTAGGCATGAGATCTGCAGAATCTGAAGAATAGGTGGCACCAGCCCCAGATGGTTTGTATATAGACCCCACATGTTAATCCAGAAAACAGCGTCTAAAACTGTGTGCCAATCGACTTCTCGGAGCGCCACTCACCCTTCTCCAACCAAAAGCGGCCGCGCTTTCCAGCGCGCTGGCGCGCTCCGCATGCTCCGCATCCCTGGTTTGCATTGCCTCAGCTGTTGAAGCTTCGGGATGTTGCGCAGGAATGGGACAAGTTTCAGGAGAATCTCAAGGCCCAGGGTTTTCGGGCCCAAGGCTGTCCCAGTCGATGGATGGATGGGACATGCATGTGGTTTTGTTTGTTTTTATATACTCTTGTTTTTTTGCGTGGGCGTGGATGGTTTTACAGATTGGGATGTTCTTGATATGTTATAATACCTGGACCTCCCAACTGTGCTAAATATACATTTTTTCATGTCGATAGAGACCAACAAACAGGCAGAAATGTTGCATAATTCGAACAATTTCTGTATCATATGAATCCCCTTCCAGTGATGAATATTTGAGCTGTTCATGGGGGCTGCATCTAGCCCATTTCTGTCCATTTCATTCCATTCTTCAGAAACCAGGCACGCCCTGAAGGAATCATGGGCCAGCGTGGATGGCATGGCCCCAATAGCCCCGAGTTCGGATGACCCTTGCACCAAACAAATAGATAGTAACATATATAGTAACAGAACTCCACTGCTTTTGTTCGGAGAGTGCCACGGGAGGTTATACAAGTGACCCAAAAGGATTCCTAAGTTGCTTAATTTTTCCCTTTTAGAGGGACGGTTTTCATCACTCAATACACTTCTCCTGAAGTCTACTTTCATCCGGTTCCTTTTCAGTGATGTGGCTCCATAGCAAGATTCAAAAGAACACCCAACCCAACCCAACCCAACCCAACCCACCTGCACATCCTACCCAGTCAGTGGATAACCTTTAACCTTTTGTGGGGATTGAGTGTCCACCCCACGTTACTAACAGAAAAAAAGGAGCTGAGTTTGGTTATATTTAATATATATATATATATAACCCTCTTTGTTAAAAAAGGTTGAAACCAAAACAGCGCTGAAAGGGAGTCCCGCCTTCCGCGTTCCGCTCGCCTGGAGGCCAGCAGCGCGGTGAGTTTCCCCGACGAGCCCGGCAAGCCCACCGACGAGCCCGGCGAGCCAACGGAGGAACCGCCAGGCTCGTCGTCCGAACCGGGCGGCTCGCGGGGTGGCGCGATCCGCCGGTGCCGGTCGTTTTGGGTGGCGCGGCGGCGCGGATGTTTGTTCAGCGAGTTCGGAGGAGGTGATGAATACACAGAAATGGCACCGACTAGAATGACTTGTGCATAATATATTTGCTTCCAGGTGATGTGCCTGTGTGCGAGATTCCTCTAAAGATCGGGAACGGGGGGTGCTTGGCGCGAACGTGCAGAAACATCGCACCGTTTAAGCATTCTTTGTGCCAGCTATGGCTTTGGGTAGCAAGGCACTTGACGTGCTTGGCACTTGGCACTGAACTTGATGGTTGCTGCATAGTTCTGAACACGCAAATCCAAGATATGCCTGCAGACCCTCCTTTGTTTTGCTTGTTTCCAAATCGAACCAAGCTGGACTCATCAAGCCCAGACATGACCACTCCATGGGGCTGGACTACCAATGCCAGGGGTGGTGCCAGAAAGGGGTCCATGGAGCCTATGCCAGTCCCAGGCAGTTCGTGTCTGGGTACTGTCAGTTAGGGTGGTGCCAGGGGGTAAATATGCCAGTCCCACGGAGTGTTTGGGAGGGGGCAATTTTCACTCTGACTGCACTCTCGCCCAAACACGGCTCCGGAGGTGAGACCACGGTCTCCCCAGGCGCCCAAACAACCCCTTCTCCTGGTGCCGTGGCTGCGGAGGGGGTGACGAGAAATGTGGAGGGCGGGGGGGCTTCAAGTGGTGGAACAGTTGCAGCTCCAAGGACTCCAACGTGAGGTGAAACAACGGAGGTTGACCAGCGCCTACCCGCGTGTATACGGTGTCTTCGGTCCACAAATATCGGTGGCCGCGGGCCGTCAAGTCATGTCTACAATCCCCTAGGGGTCCAGTCGTACCTCCTCAAAAGGCACGACTGGACCCTCCTGGCACCCACCCCAGTCCCACCTTCTCAGAGGGTACGACTGGATCCTTAGGGATCAATTGTGGAAGCTGGTTGCTTAAAAGGACTATGCCGGGCCCCTCCTGACTTCCGCGGCGAGGGTGTACTGTTTAGCAAAAGAGAGTATGATTCCGTAGCTGCAACCTTCACAGCAGAATCCTAGTTTGCACTGGTTTTCCTGTTTCCGAAGAAGCAGAGCTCCATTTCAAGAGCATGTTACTTAAATCCAACCGGTGCTTTTGGTCGCCATCGGCAAGAACAGGTGATCCACTTGCAGCTAGTGTTTCAAGTGGTCCAAATATTGCGACGGGGGCACCGGGAGACAGCACGCCTGGGGCGTCTTGCGGTTGGGTTTGTTTGGGACTATCGTTGTGTTTTGTTTCTTTCTTTTTGGGCCGGGAGGCACAGCCGAAAGATGCTCTTCCGGCACACGGATGCTCTCAGGTCCAGATGATGAGCCGCCTGCGCGGCCCTTCCCCATTTGGCCTGGCCCCCGAGCTTGTCCAAGCGCAGAACCGCCTGATGTCTCGGGTTTGTGGTGCATTTACAGTCGTGCTGGGCCGTGGTTTCAGCTGCGCAAGCCCTGGGGCAGCCCTTGGGGTCCTGGTGGATTCCCCGATCGGGCACCTGGCCGCCGCACACAGCTCTGAATGAGAACCACACAGTCCGAGTTGGTGGGTTTTGGCAGGTTTGACTGAGGCTTCTGTTCACGTTCGGGCCTTTGGGTGGATCCCGTTGGGGGCAAATCCAGGAGATGCATACCAACAAAGGTTAAGTGACCTTATACGCCTTATAGGGCCCTACTGGGCTAACTATAGGATAGTCTATAGGGTTCTTCAACCTCTGTTGGTAGATCTCAAAATATCTCAAAAGATGGAGATCCTTTGGTTCGCTGCCTTTGGTTCGCTTGTGCCACTCTGAGATCATCTGAGATCACTAAGAGCATGCGAGGCTCCAGCTTCGTCAGTGCCCTTTGGGCAAAGGTCGCAAGCTGTGCACCAACTGGAAAGACACCTGATTGACACCCATATGCCAGCACCACCCGTTTTGGTGGTGATTGGATGGAAAAGACATACGGTAGGATCCGGGGTCTATCAACCACTGGCCCTGGGTGGTGGTAGTGGCAAGAAGGAGCTATTTTTAGGATGTCTTTGTTGCTGTTGGCACCAGGCTTTGAAGGATCCCGGCCCTTTCGGCACCGGCCTTTTATTTCTGATATTTCTGCAACTCTTGCGATAGGTATTCTGCCCAACAGCGGCAGAGTCGCGCAAATCCTTTCCGCTCCAAACCTTTCCCAACGCTCCATGACATTTCCGGGTGGTGGGTTCAGGCATATATTCCAGTGCCATGGGTTGTGAGTGCTGAAATCATTGACTTAAGGAATTACAGCCGTTTGCAGACCGTGTCGACTCGACGGCCAGGTTTCTGAGTGAAGAGGTTGTCAAAAAAACCACTACGGCTCCTGGCTCATGTCCCTGGAAGGTGGTATTCGACCCTTTGGCATCCACCCCAACCACCGAAACGGAGGGGGCGGCCAGGAGCCCGATCGGAAATAGCATGCTTGAATATACTTGACACAATTTAGGGCTCCAAGTTCAGGTCAACCTCCGAACCCACCTCAAATACGTGCAAGCTGATGCGGCTTGCCCTTTGGAAGAGTTGAGAGACCAAACTTTACCAAACTGCTTCAGGACGACCGAGGAGGGGTTGGGAAGGAGATAGACATGTGCGGCATGTGCCTTCCAATAGTTGTTTCAAGTGGATTCACTCACAACGCATTTGGAGCCCTAGAAACCCTAGGGCCTCAACCACTTCTCCTGAGAAGATGGTTGGGGTGGATGCAAGGGGGTCTAACCACCGAACCTGAGGATATGGGCAAGGAGCCCTAGGAAAATTAGTCTTGCAAGGATGGTGTTGGAGACCAGTCGCTGCAGAAAGGGCTCCGCACAGCTCGGGGCCCTTCACCATTTCCTTCTGGTCCATGAACTCATCACGCTTTGGGGCAACAGCTGCGACTTCTCCACAGTTTTGCCCCGCCATGTTTTCTTTCCCCCAACGGCATGGACTCATGGACTCACGCAAAACTCCAAGTATATGGGACAAACCGGGAAGTTCGATCAAGAGCTATTTTCTACCGAGAATTTCAGACTTGTGCGACTCGTAGGGAATGAGGGAATGAACCACCCCTGTAGGCCCCTCTGGATCCATTCCCATATTCATAGGAGGAGAATGGAGTGGTTTATATAGGAGCTCCTTCGGCTCCTCTGAATGAGGGAATGAACCACCCCTGTAGGCCCCCCAATGAGCCGAAGGAGCGCCTTGAAAACACCAACCAGGTTGGTTGCCCCTGGTCGTGAACAACACAGGTATATGGGACCTGGCATGTGCGCCCCTCTATTCTCCCTACATGGACATCAGAATCTAAAAACCTCCCTACCCTCCCCATCACACTCTCCCATATCCAGTTTTCCTAGCCCCAAAAAGACTCCAAGTCGGGGTTGCCGAGGGGCTCGAAGTGGAGTCTTTCAGGTGTCTTTTAAACATGAATCAGGTGGGCAATGCAACAACACAATACAGTATTTGTTTGTGCTAACGGGTTTTGTAACGGTCCCATGTTTTTTTGCGTTTGATCGTATTTGGGGTGGGGTGTGGCGGGGGTTCAGTTGGGGTAATGGCAAACGTTGCACATACTACGCAGCTGCTTTTTCCCGGGGCTGACTTGCTTTGTGAGAACATAGGGTGGGCTGGTGGGTGGGTGGGGGTGGGGTCAGGTAATGACAAACGTTGCACATGCTATGCAACTGCTTTTTCCCGGCTCACGGGGTTCTCGATGGATATAACCAAAGGTGCCACTGATTGACTTCTGACTGTTTACGCACATCTACATTCTACATCACTTGAAGAGAGCGTCCCGCGAGGCCCACCTCACAAGACTTTGCTACTCACAAGAGTGTGTCTCACAAGGATAGACAATTTTCAAAGAAGTTGCAAGGTCGTGTCGTGTCACGGTTCTCGAGGTCAACCGGGACGTATGCGACCTGTCATGTGGGGGGACCTCAAGCTGCTCATGCCCAGAGAGCTGGCTTGTAAACATGGCCAGACTGATTTTGAATGAGCAGTAACCATAGAGGATCGCTGAAAGCAGTAGGACACGGGGGCGTTGTCGAAGAAGGGGTGCAATGCGTGCTTGAAACCCAAACACATGCACCCAGACCTGCAAACACTGTAAATCGGCTGAAAGCAGTCCCGAATTGGTCGAATACCACAACTTTGGGACCGTTACGGAGCCCGTTACCTTGTTTGTTGCTTGATTTGTTTCTATGGCAATTGGTTTTTTTTTCAGTTTCTTTTCTCTTGATAGGGATCTAAGTAGCTCCTTAGAAAGTGTTTGAACCCTCCAGCAGAAGTGTCTCCAATCACCTTCTCAGAGGGTATGTGGATCCATATAGAGGGTCTAAGTTTGGCACCTTTCTTCTCACTCCAAGACTTCAGCTTGCTCAGCCCTTGATGTGCAAAATTGTGCAGTTGTATTTTGTGAGCAGTCCTCCGACATGTTAAAGTCGACGCAACATGGACTTGGACATCTCGAACATCGGGTGCTGCTGTTTTTGCTTTGTTTCCGTTGAGTCCGAAGGTGGGTTGCGGGATTTGTGCAATGAGAAATAGTATTGAGTGGTGTCCGTATTAAACATGTTGGTTCTATTAGGATCTATTAGGCGACCTTTTTGATCCTTTTTGACCTCAGCGTCATCTTGTGGCATTTCACCTGTACAGGGTCAAGCTAGCGAGTGGCAAGTTCTCAAGTTGGCATCAAAAGCTTCAAAAGGGAAACCAGACAACCAACAAGCATCGGCAAACTAAAATGGCTCCGCGCCCAGGAGCACAAAAATACGACTTCCAACTTGTGCTGCGTCATTGGCTCGGCTACTGCAGCTCCGCAATGACAGAGACCCCTAATGACAACATCTCCAGCCTTTCACGAGCTGACCAATACCAGGTAGGTCGTGCCTGGTCAGTCTCCTGCTGCCATGACCGACAGAGCCATGCCCTCCTCCTCCAGTTTTGGGCGTTGGCTGTGCAACCCATGAGGGCTAAGTGGTGCAACGCTAGACTTTTTGGAGCATGTAGCAGATGTGCAGATTGCCGGCTTTACTTAGGGCAATTTCTATATTCCCCATGTGGGTATTCTCCGTTTCCCAAAGCAGGTCAGTATGCTACATGCCACACATAGGCCATGGGAACAGCTACATCGCCCCAAGCTTGTACGTATAGAGCGCGTGTGTGGCCATGACAGTGTACATACCGCGTGTGATCGTGGACCGCTGAGGACCATTGTCGCCGCCGTGGGTGCCGCCGCGTTCTTGGTCGCGGCCCGGAGCCCGAGCGAAGGAGATCGAAGGCAGGCGCGATTTGATGCGGGCTGCGTACTGCAGTTGGTTGTGAGGGGTCTTGCAATTCGATTGGCACCAGGGTTTGCCAGGTGGTAGTTTCGCGATTGCTGAGACAGAGGTTCTGATTGCATTAAAGAGACATTAAAATACGGAGGGCCGAAGGCTCGGCTGAAGGTCCATATTGCGAACGATGTATTAGGGGTGTGAGAGTGGGTGTGAGTTGTAAGCACTGTAAGCGTGGTTGCGTTGTGTGCATATTGGGAAGGGTGAGCCCAAAGTCTGCTGGGGGAGAGCGAAAGGTTGCATTGCAAAAAAGAGAGCGGGCGTGCTTTGGAGAGCACACACTAGCTTAAAATCGATCAAAAATACATACCACGCAAATTTTAAACAACTGCTCTGAGACCTAGACGAAACGCATATTTTCCTATCTTCCTACACACTGGTTCAAAACCTACTGAAAAGACTGTAAGAACCAAGCGAAATTTCAACACATGCGCTGAGACCAAGACGGTTCGCACATTTTCCTGTTGCCTATGCAAAACATCTATGTGCAATATGGTGCAATGACAGTGTGTAAATCATTGATAAGCATTATTAGTTTGACTCGTCTTTGTTCAATAGCAATAACTGCTTGGTTATTTGTACGCATGTGTTGCCAATATCAGTCAAAGCTGTTTGGCTTTGAATCTTGCAAGGATTGATATCAGATATGAAAACTTCAGCTTCTACACTAACCCCTCAGCCACTTCACCTTGATCCCAAAGGACCTTTTCTATTCTTCCATCTATGCTTTAATTTCTTTGATGTCCTTGTTTCATAGGCAAACAAGCAATCCAATTACTTTACTTCGTTTTACTTCGACTGGTCCCCACCATGACATTTCAATTTGATCAAAACTCTGGCATATATTGAAATATTGTTTTGACATTCTTGTTAGCATTTCTTTTGATATTCTTTCTGGCGTATCTTCTGGCATTCTCTCTGATATATCCTTTGACATTCTTTCTAGCACAGCTTCTGACATTATTTCTGGCATACTTTCTGGCATCTCCTTTGACATTGATCTTGGCATATCTTCTGACATTCTTTCTGGCATATCTTCTGACATTCTTTCTGGCGTATCTTTTGACATTCTTTCTGACAATCTATTCTGTCTGGCATATCTTCTTACATTGTTTCTGACATTCTTTCTGGCTTTCTATCTGGCATATCTTCTCACTCGCGGTTGAGGTCTGACGGGGAACGCTGCTGTCGGGAGCTGGTGGTTGAGGTCCGGCGGGGAGCTGGCGGTTGAGGTCCGGCGGGAAGTACTGCCGTCGGGAGCTGGCGGCTGAGGTCCGGGGGGAACACTGCCATCTGGAGCTGGTGGTAGAGGAGACGAGGAGACTTGAGGCAACCGACATAAAGTCTAACAACCCTCACCTGACAGGTGGGGAAGTAACACAGGTTTCATTGCTGTATGACTTTGGCTTTGGCAAGAGCCATGACAAGGCAACCAAAAAGAAATGCATATTATGTAATTATATATATACATATCATTTGTTCAAGTCACATAGAAATCAATCAAACTTCTTGTGCCTAGTCTACCTCCTTACCTTCTTAGAAAGAGCTAAGCCAAACAAAACAACTTGACCAAGAAAAAGCAACCTTCCTTCTTTCGGTGTTCAATGTTAAGGCACGTTTGATCGTGTAGAACACCTTAAGCAAGACAGCTACAACCTACTGGAGCAATAAAAACACTTATTGAGACAAGATTCCAGAAGAAAAAAATTGTTGGCTGGATAGAAGTTAATTGATGCTGTTGCAATTTGGTCTAGGTCATCTGTTTCTTTAGTAATGCGGTCCTTTTCTTTGGATTTTTAATACTCTAGCATGCGGGTTCCTTTTGGTGCTCAATGTTGAATGACTTTGTGCGCAGGGTAAAAGTTAAGCAGAACATACATAACCCTATTGAAACAATTGGAAAGCGTTTGAAGCCTTTTGAGTCTACGCCTCACAAAAAACTAGGTTTTCAGCTGTAGTTTTGCTTCAACTGTTCAGACCAGGCCAGCAGAGGTTTCGAGGGAGTACCAAAAAAACAAAAACAATACAAAATACAAACAAACACATAAAACAAAAAACAATGCTTGCTACAACATGATGGCAAAACACACAAAAAAGATCAGAACAGATCCAAATCCTATAGCACCTTGAATTTGTCTCAAACATGTTTTTGTTTGTTACGTGTTTTTTAGTTTCATTTTTGTATTATTTCCTCTAAACTAAACCTGCCGGCCTGATCTGAACAATTGAAGCCTCAAACCTTTGGCTTTGTGAAGTTTCAACCAGAACCCGTGTAAAACACGGTGTTCTTGTTCACAACAAAACAACGTTGAATCTCGAAACGCAAAACAACTCCCAAACCCAGGTTTTGGTGATGTTTCAGCCAAAAACACCGTAAAACATAGTGTTTTTGTACATTTTTGAGAAATTTTGCAAATTTGTCGGTTTGAATGTGGCTAAACATTATCATTTCCGTTTGTTTTAAATCGTGTCAGGCCATGCGGGAAGGATGCAAAACATCGTAAATAACCGTGTTTTCTGGAGGGTGAGGTGGTTGAATGTAGCAGTGCGTTGTGGAATTTGATGGAAAAACACGCAAATGCTGCGTTTCCGGACTCAGGACGTGAAGCTGCGTAAATAGTGTTTTTTTGAGCAAGGTTTAGAACAAACGCATAAAACACCGTGTTTTTTCGCCGTTGCTTGAGATAAATTGTTGGTGGGTGTGGACAGACATTGCTGTTTGGAGAGGCCTAAATGCAGAGAGTCGAATTGTTTCGTTGTTTTTTGGGGTTTTGTTTGAAGGCCGCCTCGGGAAAAAAGGGGACCTCCGAAAAGTGGATTCTGGCGACAAGTCCGTTGACAAAACATGAGAAAGCAGGACACGGCAGATGCATGTTCGAGCGTTCAAGCCGCTGTTTGAGGTAAATTTTGTGAGATTTGTGGGACAAATTGGTACATCGCACTGAGTTGCGGCTGCTGTTTGAGGTTTGTGGATGCAGGTATGCAAAGACGCGGTGTTTTTCAGAGACCTAGATGGAGAGAACCGAAGAAAAACGCTTAAACCACATTTCTGGGTTGGCGCTCTCCTCCGTTTTTTTTGAGGGCCATCTCCCGGGAACAAAACCAGGCACCTTTGGAAAAGTTTGTTTTAGCACCAAGTTCCCCCAAAAGAGACCTTAAGGAAACCACAAGATGCCATTTTGCGCTTTGATCGGAGGCCGTGTGGGGCGGGCACCTGCGGGTGTTGGCGATGTTGTTGGACGAAGCAGGACACGGCAGATTCATTTCATGCATCTTGCGAACGAAGTGGCTGGGAGTTTGGGGGCTCTCGCGTCGCTTGTTTGGGGGGTTCTTGAGGGTCATGGGTCAAGCACGCGTCGCTTCTTCTTAGCAGTTTTTGGTCCCCTCGGCTTTCATGTATGAAGCTTGACCATGCTTGGTGTTGAGTCAAGGCTTGGGTGATGAGTCAAGG